TATTTTTTTATTTATTCAATTTGAATCTCATTCCTCCGGTGAAATCCGTTGTGGGAAATCCAGTCATTTATCTTTCTAAATCAGCCTACCCTGGCGATGCTTGTAGGCCCGTGATCGTCTCAGTTCCTGCAGTCGGGTGCAGCAAGTCCAACCGCCACGCAGGCATGAGAGGAACAGAAGGAGAGCCTGGGGTCCGCACAGACATTATCTGACAGGTCCACTGAAGGCACTCTGCGTGTTCTGGTCCTCAGACTGAGGCTGCCCAGAGTGACCTTGCCTTGGCCGTACAGCAGATGTGGGCTGGAAAAACAAGATGGCAACGTTAGAGACTATGGTAGCAAACTGGTAGGAAAGGGGGAGGATGGCGATACATGGGCTCGTTTAACAAAGCCGTGGCCTTGAGGCGTTGGGGAAAGGGGAACAGGGCGGTTTGCTACTCTGCAAGCTTGCCAGGAGCCGGGAGACAGGTCTCCTGAGGCAATCCCCTCACCCGGGTCCACAAACAGGTGGCCTCGGATAGGAGAGGGGCTGCTTAGCATGCTTTCTTTGTCCGCACCCCCCTGCCGAGCACACATGATTCCAATCGCCCTCCCCACCCTGCCTTGGTGGGCCCTTTCATGGTATTTTTTTGAGATGGAGAGAAGGGAGTGGGATCCTGTAGTGCCACGACCGAGAGCGTAAGGGGGTCTCCGTCTCTTGCAGATGGGCTGAGACTCATGGGAAGAATGCAGGGAAACGTGGGTGTGTTTGTTTTAAAGAACACTAGTAATGGATGACATACTCCTCTCAAGCACTGCCGCCTAAGCTCTTCGAATAAATACAACAAAGGCAGAAAGCTGTCTGCTGGCAGCCTGAACAGGGAAAAAGAAAAGGCCTCCTCTGCCTGCCAGATCACGGCGTAGGGCGAGAGGGTCCCCCAACCTTCCTTCGGCCCCACTGCAACTGTACATTTCCTCTCCTTCCTGCTCCCTCCCCTGTGAACGCTGGAGGAGACAAGAACAATAAAAGCCAGAAGAGGAGTAATAATAAAATAATAACTTACATGAAACACAAAGAAGACGGTCACGGCACTCAGCCCCGAACTGCACTTTCTCTCGTCCTTGGCGGGAAAGAAGGGGAGATGGAAGTCCTCAGGAATCTCCACCTCGGGACTCGAACCCGAGCTGGGAGGGAGACTGGTAACTAACTAACTAACTAACTAACTAACTAACTAACTAACTAACTAACTAACTAACTAACTAACTAACTAACTAACTAACTAACTAACTAACTAACTAACTAACTAACTAACTAACTAACTAACTAACTAACTAACTAACTAACTAACTAACTAACTAACTAACTAACTAACTAACTAACTAACTAACTAACTAACTAACTAACTAACTAACTAACTAACTAACTAACTAACTAACTAACTAACTAACTAACTAACTAACTAACTAACTAACTAACTAACTAACTAACTAACTAACTAACTAACTAACTAACTAACTAACTAACTAACTAACTAACTAACTAACTAACTAACTAACTAACTAACTAACTAACTAACTAACTAACTAACTAACTAACTAACTAACTAACTAACTAACTAACTAACTAACTAACTAACTAACTAACTAACTAACTAACTAACTAACTAACTAACTAACTAACTAACTAACTAACTAACTAACTAACTAACTAACTAACTAACTAACTAACTAACTAACTAACTAACTAACTAACTAACTAACTAACTAACTAACTAACTAACTAACTAACTAACTAACTAACTAACTAACTAACTAACTAACTAACTAACTAACTAACTAACTAACTAACTAACTAACTAACTAACTAACTAACTAACTAACTAACTAACTAACTAACTAACTAACTAACTAACTAACTAACTAACTAACTAACTAACTAACTAACTAACTAACTAACTAACTAACTAACTAACTAACTAACTAACTAACTAACTAACTAACTAACACACACAAAAGCACACATAAATACATACATGCATGCACACATACTTACTTACATACATACATAAAAAATAAATAAAAGAAACAACCATGAAGAACTTCAAATCATTTAATGCAGTGAAACGTGTGGGAGACGACTACAAGGCTGAGTCCCGGCGTGCATTTCCTATGGGGTTTGGAGGCAGAGAGAGGGAGGGAGGGAGGGAAATCCAGCCAGACCCCCTTTAATCCTTTCCTTAAGGGCCAGCCTCATGGGGAGGATACATACTGTAGCTCAGCACATGCCCAGAGACTTGAAAAATCCTGAGCACTGCCTTTCCTACCTTGGATCAGATTCCTGTCCTAAAGGACTACAAAGCCCATGGTTGGGTGGGGGAGAAGGGGCCCAGCAGTCACCCCACCCTCCCCCACGGTCCTCCTTACCCAGCCGCCGTCCCCGGGCGTCCAAGCGTTCTGTGCAGGCCAGGGTCTCCCAACGGCGGGCAAACGGAACAGATTCTGGGTGCTGCAGGGGCAGGTGGGGCAAAAATTGGGGAGACACGGCAGGGAAGAAAAAGCCCGATCCACCGGCCTTTAGCATCCTGTCATCGCCATGGAAACTGAACAGGAAGAGGCGGGCCCAGGGGACCTGCTCTCCGAGTGTAAAGGGCTAGAAGGTCCCCATGGCGACTTACAGGAAGAGGCATGCCCGGAGGACCTGCCCTCTGAGTTCCAAAGGGTAGATGGTCAGTATGAAAGACCCTCTGAGTCCAAGCGTGCTAGACGGTTCCTCTTCTCGCCTGCCCGGCCAGTTCTCCGCTCCGTCTGCTGGGCATCCTCAGGCCGGAGGACCCTAACCATTTCACACACACCCCCACAGCTTCTGAAATTTCTTTTTGCACGTCAGGAAGACAAACAACTGGGCAGCGGCAGAAGAACATCAACAGTATCGCACTCCCACCCCCATCCCGTTGGTACATGAAGAAGTCTTGAGTGTAGAAGAGTAAAATTGGGAAGCAGAGGAGTGTCACTTTGGGCGGAAGCGGTCCAGTGGGGCGACTTCACCCTTTAGCCAACCGGAAACTGTCCCTCGGGCCACCGGAGCTCCCCCCTTCCGCTTCCGGGAGCTGCGGCCTCCGCCCCCAACCCCCCTCCGTCCCCTACCGGAAGTGCCTGTTGCGCGAGCCGGCGCGCGGAGGTCCGCCATGGTTGTGGATGGTGTTTAGTCTTATACTCGTGTGCGACTCTTCCGCCATGGTGGGCCCGGCTTTTCCCGTCCCGGGGGCACCAGGCGCCGGGGGCTCCCTGGAGAATGCCAACCCGCTCATCTACCGGCGCCAGGGCGAGCGGCCCATCACGGCGCGCGAGGAGGACGGCGACCTGCCCGACGCCATCGACGCCCGGGAGATCTTCGATATCCTCCCCAGCCCATCGCCGCGCCGCCTCCGCTCCCTCCCGGTGCCTCGGCTGGCCCTCCGTCCGTCCGTCCCTCCCTCCGTCCCGTCAGGGGCGGGCCCCCCAGAAAGGACAACACAAAAACGGACCCCCTTTAGGTGCTCCCCCATTCCCTCCCCGGAACCCTCTGCCGGGGGTCCCCCTCCGAAGTCAAGGAAGAGGCCGGTAGCTCCCGCGCCCGGGCTGAGCCGGTGCCGGAGGGCCAGGCTCCTCGCCCGCGCCCCCTTCGGCCCTCTCGTCGAGGCGCCCCCGGGATACTTCCCTTCCGCCTTCGCGGCGGGGTGGGGGAACTCGTCGGTCTTTGCTACCGGTGGTGCCTCTGGGCGCTGGGCCCTTGACCAACCGGGCTGGGCTTGTGGAGCTGAAATGCAAAGCCTGGGTCCCAAGGAGGAGGAGGGGGGCGGGTGTGCGTCTTCCTCTGGGGACCACCGGCCACTGGGAAAACGACATTCCTTCCCTGCTCCGGCCGGTTGCTTGGCCTCTTGGCCTTCAGAGCGGTGTGTGCTTTGCTGATTGCTGGTGAGAGTTTCCTTGACTTCCTACATCTGATCCGGTCAATCAATGACCCAGAGCACCCCTTAACGTTGGAAGAGCTGAATGTAGTGGAGCAGGTCAGAGTTAAGGTAAGCCTTCAGGGCCTGTCCTCTGCCTCATCCAAACACCCTGGAAGGAGGTGAAGGAGCTGCTTAGGGGGCAACCGCCTGTGTCAGCAGACTGGCACACTCGGCAGAAGCCCTGGCCGATGGTGGGAGCGGCCACTTCCATGACTTTTGCTGTATCACTGCCTGATTCTTTAGCCCTGCTTCTGGAACCAATGACTCTGACAGCGACATATTTATTGACTTGTTACACTTACACTTTGAAAAGCAATGAGTCCGACAGCTCTTTTTGTCCAGCCTAAGCTTTCATAGGCTTTAGTCCAGATGGAGCTTGTTAGCAGGGATGTTGGCAAGTCTTTGGGTCTGAGTCCCTGTTAAAAACCTGCTCCCCCCCCCCACGAAAACGGGAAGAGGTGGGTGGGTGGTTTCCAAGTTGCGAGTCTAGTCTGAGTTGTTTAAAAAAACAAACCCTGAGTCAAGTCCGAGCGGAGTCACTGATGCGACTTAAGTCCATCTTGACTACAAGGCCCGCGGGCTCAAGTCCCTGCTTGTCCCTGCTTGCTAGTCTTCAAGGTGTTAGTAGGCTCATTCTTGTTTTAGCTACGCAGCTACTCCCTTGGAAATGAATGTCCTGCTTTTCTTTAAGGGCTGTCCTCCCCACCACTCTGTGAGGCCTCAGGTCAGGTCCTAGGGCACTCACACAATCCTACAGCCAAGCAGGGGTTTCAGCCCACCTAGCCAACCCACCTCCTGAGAGTCATTGTCTGGAGCCACTTCCTCCTCAGAGAGAAAGAGAACAGGTGCCTTCCAGTGATACAGCCTGTCCTTATCTTCTGCCTGTGGTTCCATCTGCCTGCCAGAGGGCTGCTAGTGGGCTGTTCTGGTGGGTCAGCTAAGGAGGTTCCCACTGCTACAGGTCTTCCTATGGGTGGAGGTGAGTGGGGACCAGCTGTGATAGCCCAAAGCATCATTTCCATGTTCAGCTTCCAATGTGATGCCTTGCAAGGACAGCTTCCCCTCTCTTCTTCCCACCATCTGCCTGGCTGCATTAGCAGAGACAGTTCTGAGTGACCTTGCCAGGACCAGCTGGCCAAGCTGGTTGTGTTTGTCTCTGATTGTCAAGGTCATGTCTAGAGGGAGGACTTTTGAGGAGATAAGTTGTAAGTTTGTAGGTGCAAAGTGAGTAAGGGGGGAATGCTGTTTTCCTACTTAGAACGGAGTATGCTCTTCTGAAATCATAAGCAAGACCCTCATCAACACATCTCTTATTTGGTGGTGGTGGTGCCTTCCACAGGTCAATGATACTGAAAGCACTGTCTCGGTGGAATTCACTCCGACGATTCCTCACTGCAGCATGGCAACACTCATTGGCCTTTCAATCAAGGTGAAGTTGATCAGATCCCTCCCTGAAAGATTTAAGGTGAGTGCAGGAAACAAAAGAACATCCTTTAGATCTCAGCCTTGGAAGACAGGATTGCTACCTCCACCTTAGAGGGGTACCACAGAAACTGGCATTCCAGCAAGATGCCAGAAGCCATCTTGGGCTTGATATTTTTTAAGCACTAAAAGGCATTCAGAAACAGATGGGAGCAGGATGAGGCAGGGTAGAGGTAGAGGCAACCAGAAATCCAGAAGAGTGAGCTACCTTGCCAGGAAGGGTCTCCACCCATCCCAGACCTTCCTTCACTCCATAGAGAGATTGTCTCTGGGAGGCAGCAGTTGCAGCTTTGTGTGCAGCTCAGCCTTCCTTATCTGCTTCCCATCCTGCTTAATTTTGCTCTGGAGGCTGACTTGCCCAGGGTGCAGCTTTCTCTGCTTGACCTGTGACTCTTGCGGCAGCTTTTGCTTCCCACTTGTTTCTACAGCTTTTCTTCTTACATCATCAGGAACTTGGGCCTTGAATTTCACATGAAAAGCTCCCCTCATGGAGACTGCATATGGCATTGTTTGCTGTTGATGTATGCATCCGTTGATTAGTTTTCTGTCTTGTGTCTGGCAGGCAGGTTTAAATTGACAAAATTACCAGTGTGTTTCAAAAACCAGAAAGCTCCAGGGTGTAGGCCTTTTAGTACGTGTGCTAAGTTACAGTTGATTAGGCTTTCACAGTCATGAAATTACGGCCGAAAAAGACCCACATACAGGTATTTGTTTTTGCTTGCAAAAGTCTTCTTGCTGTTCAGCTAGATGGGTAGAGAAGAGGATAGGAAGATGTGGTTCCCTCCCATCTTTGATTTTTGGCCAAAACTGCAGGGGCAGGAGAGGGGAGCCTGGCAGCATTGGTCATGCCCTCTGGCAACCACGGGATATGTCTTTGCAGTCTGAGGGGCAGAGGAGCCAGGAGCTGCTTTAAAAGTCATAGGAAGGGGATGGCAAGGCCAACAGGAGATAGTGTGGCCGCCTCCCTCCCTCGTTGCCTCACACGGCCTTCTTCCCTCCATTGCCCCAGTAAAACTCAGCTGCCTCAGTTGCCTAGGAAACTCTTCCAGGCTACATTTCCAAAAGAAACCCTAGGAAGGAAGCACGGCAGGTGATGGAAGGCAGCTACAGGCAAGGAAAAGAATTTCTAAGGGTGGAGGGTTATCATCCCCCTCAGTGACATGTTATTCTTGTTGCTATATAGCCAGAGCTCTATGGCATGTGACTGTGTTGAGTCCTTGTCCCTCTACTTGTTGTCTGCTATTACTCCATGAATGCAGTGTTCCAAATACAGGAGTAAAACTTGGTCAGTTATGTGGACTGCCACCAAAGCAGAAGTTTTGATTTCAGTTTGTGACAGGTTGCTAGAATTGTTCACTGACAGGATTGTCTCAGGTGCTACAACTACAACTAAGAAGTTGGCATGGGGTGTGTATGTCAATTTTTTAAAGGCCCCCCAAGAGACATAGAATGGGAGGAAGAGAGAATTTTGCTAGCCAAGAGTAGAAACCCATCTCTCCAGTTGTTCCCACCCAGCTGACACAGTGACTTCATCTCTCTCTTCTCTTTTGTCCAGGTGGATGTCCACATCACACAGGGAACTCATGCCTCAGAGCATGCAGGTGAGCTCGAATTCCCTAGGAAATGAACCTCAGAACAAAGCTACCTTTCTCTACAGATTTGCCCCTGGCTGTCCTCCTGGAAGCTCAGGACCTCTGTGCCCTTAAGGAGGAGGCCTGAAACGACTCTCGATTCACACACATATCCACCCTGCTGCTTCTCAGTGGAGCCATGGCATACCAACAACCTCATCATAGCTCACAGATGTCTTTTGGGAGGTTTAAGAGAACAGGTGAACCAGACCAAGGGGGTTCCACTACTGAAAGAGGACAGCCAACTGTTGATTGTCTTCTGCACAGATAGTGGGGCGAGACATAGAGAGAGCAGCAGTCCAGGAAGCAGATTCAGGTTGCAGGGGCTTCCTTGGCTTTTGGTGACCAGGATCAGTGCACTGTTCAGTTATCCAAATTCACTTATAAATTGGATCACAGGCTCCACCCGCATCCCCACCAGCACTTTACCGCAGGGGTCTCCAAACTTTTCAGCATGAGGGCCACATCATATATTTTACACATTTTTGAGGGCTGAAGGAACACACACACGCACGGGCTGAAGAGAATGATCCTGAGCCTGTGGCATTCGCCGAGCTGGATAACAGGATAAGGCGGTCTGGATGTGGCCCGCGGACCATAGTTGGAAGACCCCTGCTTTACCACTATAAAGTACTCATTCTTTCAAAACTGGGAACTGTTTGGATCCCCTTCCAGGTTTTTTCTTTCTTTCCAGTTTTGACATTCTTAATGGCTTTTATGGCCCCTGGAGGACCACAGGTTGGTGTGGAGAGAAAAGTATACATGGAACCTGTCGAGAGTTGTTAACCAGGTGTAGAGCCAGTGGGGAAACATGGGTGGTGTCACTTCTTTGGGATTGTGTGGCGTCCCCTCCCTTTTCTGATTGACTGTGACTCTTATTTGTCTGTAAGCATTAAGGTTTCTTACTGAGCTATGAAACTGACAGCTTGTAGGCATGGTTTGAAAGTTGGGAATTTCCATCCAACCAGCAAAAGAATAACCCTCACACTACAGGTTTTACTAAGAAAACAGGTGTGATGGTGTGACTTTGCCCCTGGTGTTCAGTAGAAAGGAGCACAAATCACACTTCTGAGGCCTGCTTAGACTGTGTTGATGTGCTGGAACTGTGAGCCTTTGCCAGAGGATGCCTCTTGCAGAGAAAGCACAACCCACATTCCTTTCCTGGTCTGAAGTGTTCAGAGATTGCCGGTTGCTTCAGAAAGTGTGGAGGGAGACTGGGACCAGCAGTTCTGGGCTGTGTTGTGGCGCAATCCTAAAGCTGTGAAGGTAAAAGCGTTTATGGCTCTGTGAAGTGAGAGGCTGGCAGATGTTGATGATGATCTCTTCTATGGGACTGTTTCCCACAGTAAACAAGCAACTGGCTGACAAGGAGAGAGTGGCTGCCGCCCTGGAAAACACCCACCTGTTGGAAGTAGTGAATCAGTGCTTGTCTGGACGACCGTGAGTGGAGCGGAGCGGAAGACGTCTCCAGGCAGGGCTGAAGTCCAGGTCCACTTACGTGGCATCCGCTGTCAGCGGTTCATGTTTGTAGCAGAGTTTTGCTTTTGTTTTTCTGAATAAAGGGATTTTAATTTTCTGTACTTAGGGAGTGTCTGAGAAGTTTGTATCCAAGGCAAACGTGAATTTGTAAGAGCATTGTGAAAACTGCACCCTCTATAGCTGCATCATTAAACTTCTTCTCCCAAACTCCCATGCATGTGTGCACAAGTGGAGAAGCACACGCATGCACAGAGAGGCTCCAGCCCTTCATGCTTGGCTTGCAAATGGCACTGGTGGCCTTAGCTTTTTTTTTTTTACTACAGGATTGCATCACACACTCAGAGGTTAATAGAAGCAGCCAGGTTTAAGAAGCCAGAAATGTCCATAGGAACTTTGGCTGTATTTTCCTGCAGTCAGCAAATACAGGATCAGCTAACAATGGCAAAACAGGAGCTATAACAGCTTGTTTCCCAAAAGTGGATCATCACTCTTTGCTAAGTTCCTGCCATGGAAACAAAATTCATATAACCTGGGAATGACTGGGAGTTCACAACTCTGTTCTTTCTCTTTCCTTTTCAGCTATTTTTTCAGGCAATATCTTTGTCCAGAAGCCAACTCGGTACTCCTTCAGTTTGTTTGCAGCCTTTTGCGTTACATCGATTTCCAGATACTGCTCATCCCCGTTGTATAGGGGCCAGTTCACTAGCCCTTCGCCATTCGGGTTTCTAGAAAGAGTGAAATAGAAAAAAGGCTAATCCATTTGCTGTTAAATCTCTGGTGCCAAGGAAAACTACTATAAGGAAAAGATAGAATAGGAATACTTGGAGGTAACGAAGGGCCGTAGGGGTCACGCTCTGTCCCCAGTCTCACCGTTCCCAAGACAAACAGGTCAGTCAAGCAGGTCTTGCTCTTGCCATCTGCCCTCTTTCCTCATGTTTTAGTAAGGAGGCCTCCCCAAAGCCCAGTCCGTCATGGCCAAGGAGTTGGCTACACCAGGAAACCCTGTGAAGAGGCCCGGAAAGAGCCCCGGCTCATCGCCCTCCTGGCTCTGCTGGGCTGCAGCTCCATCCTGCCCGGCCCCTGACTTCTTCCCTTGAGGGCCATACAAAGTGGTCCTGCTGAGAGTTTTCCTGAAGTGGCTGCTCATCAGGGTGGAGCAGGGCACGGACGAGAGAGAGGGCGGTGGACCTCTGCTGGTGCTGCAGTTCCAGGTACTCTGATTAGCATATATACCTTTTATTTTATTTTAATCTACCAGTATGTTTCATCCATGGCAGCATTTGTGCAGTAAGCCTTGGTCTGAGAAAGCACTATAGAGCAAGTGTTGCAATTCTGGACTTGGAGTCCAAATATCTGCTTGGTCACCAACCTTGTATGTTTTCCTTAGGCCAGTCAGGACCTTTCAGCCAAGCCTATTTCGAAGGGGCCCTGCCTAGATCAATGCTGGGAGAGGAACCACGTAAAGCTGCCACATACATTGCTGGTGCATATAAGTAAATGAATAATAACATTTTGTTGTGCTTATAGGGACGTGGTGGTGCTGTGGGCTAAACCGCAGAAGCCTTTATGTGCTGCAGGGTCAGAAGACCAGCAGTCGTAAGATTGAATCCACGCGACGGAGTGAGCTCCCGTTGCTTTGTCCCAGCTCCTTGCCAACCTAGCAATTCGAAAGCATGTAAAAATGTGAGTAGATAAATAGGGACCACCTCCGTGGGAAGGTAAAACGGCGCTCCCTATTCACGCTGGCCATGTGTCAACGGAAACTGTCTTTGGACAAGCGCTGGCTCAACGGCTTGGAAACAGGGATGAGCACTGCCCCCTAGAGCTGGTTGGACACGGCTGGACTAAAAAAGATGTCAAGGGGTACCTAGAGGCTTCTACTGATACTGTTATCAGACCGCATTCGTCCTTTTCCCTCTATGGCGGCCTATGGCCAAAAAAAAAGCCTTACAGATGTGCAGCACACAAAGCGCCGAGGAGATGCAGGCTGCTCTGCTGGCCAGACCTGGAAGGGAAGGCAGGCAGGCGCAAAGGGTCCTTCCTCCCAAGGCAGGCACGGCCTGGGAAGCAGGCACACTGCTTTGCACTCAGGCAGAAGGAGGTCAGCCAAGGGGGCTCCATTTTGTCTGCAGTGGTTTTTGGCCGTGGGTCTAAGAAAGGAGGGTCCCGCCTCAAGCAGGTGCCTTCCTGCCTTAAGCCCACCCCCTTCTGAAGAGGACTTGGGAGCCTGAGAGGTGCCTTGGGCCAGCCATCTGGTGCAAGACTCCAGCGTTGCTGCTGATCTCCACCCCCAGGAGCAAAATAGTGTGGTCGTTTGTGGCATGCATTCCAGCCCATGAGCTTTAGTTTATAGACCTATAAAGAGCACCAGCAATTTCTTGGAGAGAACGGAGAGAAATTCTCTTCTGCAACTCAGCTAGAAAGCCTCCAGTAGCGGCCTTAACCCTAATCCTCTGTTGTGGTTGCGTGAGCTGGGGATGCATCCCTTGTAGATGAAGTCTCCCCATGGGATGCCACCGTGCCACAGAAACTGTTGGCTTTTAACAGCTTTTCCTATGTATAAATAAAAAAACCATGTTTCCTGACTCACCCGTTACGAGCAAAATTAGCCCAGTACTTCATAACTGTTTTGCTCAGCTTTTTCTCCTCTTCAGTACCTTCACCTATAAGCAAGACACAACATTACAACATCAGCAAAAGCTACAGCTATTAGGCTAATGGTTTCCAGTGTACAAAATCATGAAATACAGTCCCTTCATAATAAAACCACAACAAGGTTCCACTAAGAAACTATACAGAATGTCTCGCAAAGGTATGCTAACTTGGATAAATGTTCTATTTTTAATAGAGAGATACCTGGAGCCCTGCCTAACTCAAGTCTGGAGTCTGGGGGTTGTGGGAGGAGAAGGGAGGACCCTGGAGCAGAAGGGAAAGAGTATTTCCCCCCCCCCCGATCCCACGTCTATCAAGCTGCCAGAAACTGAGCTTGAGACTTTGGGAGTGGCAGGACTTTCACCATCCAGTGCTCCCTAGGCGGCAGCACGAGGGTGAAAAACATCTGAATGTTGTGTTGGCAAGCAAGGGCATCAAGCATCATGACATTGGCAAAGGAAGGTCCTGAAGGCATGAATTCCTTACCCTGGAAAGGGAGAGGTTAGTCCTTAGGCTTAGAGTCAAAGAGGACTCTGGAAATCCCTGGAAATCTTGCAAGCCCGCCCGCCCGCCCTAAGTGGCTTGGGCTCAGTGGCTTCTTTCAACAGCCACCTTCTGATTCTGAAATTGACATGATGGGAGTGTGAGGCTATCAGCCCAGCTGGGGAGACCCATCTTGACATCTCTTCTCTGCTACAAAACTCATGGGGCTAGTTCACACTGGCATATTAAAAAGTCTGTGTGCTGTGGGCACCCTCCAGGAGGTTCAGGTTGTTTTGAAATTTTGACAGGCTCTTTGCTTTCGAATGACGTTGTTGAACTGTCCCAAACCGTTCTTAACGTATAGCCACCTTATGAATTAATGACTTCCAGAAGGCCCTGCCATGTCACAGCCCTACGCAGGTCCTGCAAACTCGAGACTGTGGCTTCCTTTGTTGAACCACTCTGCCTCGTGTTCTTTCTCCCTCTTTTCCTGCTGCCTTCATCTTTCCCTTGGAGCCAAAATGTTATTAATTCCTAAAATGTTTTTTTAAAGCTTGACAAACTTACCTGCCAAGAAGGGCCTGCCAAGGACAAAGCCAATTTCATCACCGTGATCTGCAGAAACAAAGTCTGGCTTGAGGCCAGCATGTGCGCTCGGACGGTGATGGAATTCATAGAAGTAGACTGGGTAGCCGGCATCTGAAAAGACAGTCAGGTTAGGCCACCGTTAGCCCTTCTGGAGGCAGCCCAGAACAAAGTGCTTTGGCAAAAGGGTTTTGTGAGCCTAGGTGAGGGGGAACTTAGGTGTGACAAGAACACCTGAGGGGCAGGACAGAGAAGGGTTGCCTTCAGGAGTATTTCCAATGGCAGTATTAACTAACAAGGCCTCTGTGCGCCTAGGGCAGGCGCCCACTCTGTTTGTCCCCTCTGGAGAAATGGCGTGGTGGTGGTGGTGGTGGGATGGGGGAGTGGAGAGCTTCTACGGCTTCCCAAGCCAAGGAGACTGGCCGTGGTGTTGGGAGTAAGAAGTGGGTGGGACACCCTTTAAAGCAGGAGCCCCCAACCCTTTTGGGGCAAGGGCTCCACAGCTGATTACCCAGTGCCTAAAGATGGCTATGTCTTAAATCAAAAAACCTGCTGATTTAGATCAAAAGTAAACATTCAGCGGTCAATGAGGAAATGTTAACTTGAATGCAATCCATTGTGGAACCATATTCTACTGCAAAATCCTTTTATCTGGCTACACGTGCTTACCTAATGAGTGTGATTTTTGTGGCTGTTTTCTGTTAGGCAAGGCGTTAATGTCCAAGTCAAGGTTTGTGACAGACACCTTTAAAACATCTGAGGGAAAATACCTTGTGGATGGTAGCAGTAAATAAGCAGGATGGAGGGCCAGAGAGGAAGAGCTTGGGGCCGACACACAGCCCAATGGCTGCAGGTTGGGGACCCCTGCTTGAAAGCAAAGCCTCTCCCAAAGGTTTTTTATTTCCATAAATCTGAGGAGTGGCGCACAGGGAGCAGGGGAGAACCCCAGAGAGGCTCCTCCAGCCAGGGTATTTATTTCATTTTCCAGGGGAAAGGGTGTTGCAATGTATGTGGCAGCTTCTGCCTGATCTCCTCAGCGCTCCACTCTCCCTCCCTCCCTCCTCGCTGTGAGCATCCAAGGAGGTTGCTCTGTAGCCTCCAGGGTGCTGCATGTGGAGGCTTTGCAGCGCTCAGGGCAATCACCCAAGAGTTTTCTTTTCCTTTTGCTGGTTTTTATATGCAAAAATTAAAATAAATACATTTTTTTAAAAGACCAAGAGCTGCAGTTGGCCACTCCTAGCCAAGAGTCTGATTCAGGAGAAGGTAGGAAACCCAAGAAACCTCTCTCCTGCGCGCCCCCCCCCCAACATGCTACCACCAGTTTTCCCTTTAAACGTATTGCTGGATGAAGGAGCTTGGCCAGGCACTGGTGCTCTGGCGTCCCACTGTATGGATAAGGAAGGACAGGAAGGAGTGAGCAGGGAGCAGCCGGAACAGCCTCTGGGCCTGTGGACACCCTGGGCGTATGAAGGGCGGCCTGCAATCAGCTGCAGCTGCAACTCACCTCGGTGGGCTCTTGCTGTCAACACGCTTGGAACCACAAACATCACATCCCCCAATAATTCCAGGAGGTGGTCCCTGAGTTGTTGAGGGTCCTCAGTGTCTTTCAGATATTCATCGGCAATGAGATGTGCGTGTTTTGGAGCAACACCCTGCAAGGTGCAAAGACAGAAAGCGCTTTAGCTGTAGTGCTTAAAAATCCTTTTATAGGTATATTTTAAACAGAAAAAAAATAATGTATGCAGACCGGTCAACGGGGCATGCTTCCAGCAAGCAAGCAAAGAAGGGGATGTATGTCCTGCAGATTCAGTCCTCAGTATCAGTGCTTGATGTTGTGACTCCCATAATTTCCTCCCAGCTTGCATTGTGAGATGCAAGTACCTCCACTAATGCTCAGTGCCCTTATGCTCCAGAGAAGCAGGAAAGATCGGTACCTCTTCTGATTGTGGACAAAGATCTTGCTCACCTTGCTCTCTCCCTCTGCTGAACAATGTTCAGAACTACAAAATCTGAATTTGGCTGGGTCCATGATAAAATCCCTGATGGCTAGCTTGCGGTAGACAAATTAAAACACATTGAGGAAAAGAGCCATTGTCTTACCGTGAATTGGCCTGAGCTACGGAGCACTTGGTTTGCTGTCCCCTTGTCAAGGCCCTCGGTGAAATTCGGAAACTGCAGCATCTGCAGATGAAGCACAGCTGTAAATTCTGCATAGTGTGGGGCACCAAAAAGCCAGCAGGCCAAGCATGTATGGTTAAAGCAGCAAGAGAAACGTCTTACCGTAGGAATGATCCATCCAAATTCATGGTTATTGAAACCTATGATATATGGAACATTGTTGAAGCTTTTCTCTGCTAGCAGGGCCTCAGGACTTTTTGGATAAAATGCACCATCAATTGCTGTAGGGAAAAACACAGTGTGCTGGAGAGGGAGGGAGGGAGAGAGAGAGAGAGAGAGAGAGATCAGCTTTAATTCTCACTAACTGAAATGAAGCTTGTTTTAAATTTAAGTACCATGTTCCTTGGGATCCCTCCCTCTTCTCATTTGTAAAGGGCAGCCAAACAACGTTGTCCCACTGCAGAGGATGGAGGCGCTGCGTCTCCCTGCATTTGCTCACTGGGGGAATGTTGGAGGGAGAGGCTGAAGAGGGCTGAAGTGGCAGCCTAGTACGTACCCTAGGAGTGCACATTATACTGTGGCTCTCCAGTCACCGTGGTGAGGAAGGGCAAATGAGACCAGGAAAACTTCCTAATTGTGCATCTCACTAGCAACAGCATTCTAAAGAGCTCTGGAGAATGTGGCTTTCGTTCCCGATTTCTCCCGCCCTCATTCTTGATTCCCAAATCCACCTTCCACTTTGCTCCTTCTCCGTTTTCCATTCCATTTCAGCTCAGTCCACTGTGCTGTTAATGTTTTGGTCGTCCTCCTGAACTGAACCCTAAGGGCCATTTTCTTTTTCTGGCTGCTCCTCATTTCCCTTTGCCTCACCTGCCTTTTGGCTTCGTTGGGCCTGGTACCTCGTGGAGCTGCCTGTGCTCCCCTTCGATTTGCTGTTCTTCAGTTTGTGTAGTTAAAGTCGCTCCCGTGTCCCCACAGGTCAGAGATGGACAAAGGAGGTGGAAGGGGCGTTGGTTATGTTTTGGGAACACAGAGGCTGCTGGAAGCCAATGTTGGCCATAAACGGTTCCTAGGAAGCTTATTTAGTCCATCTGTGCATACATGAGCTTATCACACAAGACCCTGGATGGGAAGCAATTCACATCATGCTGTCTCTCGCTTCAAAGCATGCTGTAGTAACCGTGTATTACCCAACAGCAACCTACTCGTGCAAACATCATAAATGTATAAGGATTGTTTGTTTTGCTCAATGGGGAGGCTCTGACTCCTTGTGACCCATGATCTCTGTCTGTCTTACCGAGTGGCTGTGTAAGTTACTCACTCAATGTTTCTCATTGTAAATGAGCCCAGAGTTTGTCTAATTGTTTTCTGGAGATCCCCTCAAACTATGCTCCAATGGCTGAGGGGAGCATTACAGGCTTTAAAACTGTGATCCATTCCCACAGGGTCCTACTTGGGAGCAGAAAGATGGGGATGTGGGCAGAGAAGGGTTTGTCTGTGATCCAGTCTTGGGGCCCTTCTGGTGTTCATACATCTTTAAGAGACGGAGATAAAGGGGTGGTGAAAAGAGGGGGAGAGAACAAGAGAGGGCAGGATGAGATCTCGCCCATGCTTGCCTTTCGCCCCAACCACAAGCACCTTGGGTCTCTTCAGAGGAGGTTTTCCACAAGGCAGAGCAATCCTCAGCATTTCCCACTTCCAGCCAGCCTCTCAGGAAGACGTGATATAAATACAAAAACATTTTCTTGTATCTAACCTTCTCCAAACTGTTTTTCTGCTCATCTGAGATTACCCTGTACCCATGGGAGAGATTCTGGCATTCACACCGCCACAGAAACGTCTCCTCATAGCTGGTGCTCTACTCACTTTTTCATTTCCATCTAGCTGCAGCCGGGTGAGCTCCTGTAATGACAAAGGGTGGGGATGGTGGTGGGCGGGGAGAGAATGAGCCAGGGGTCATAACTGTTGCATAATTACCAGCCCATGAGATTTCTGCATACTTACCATCTTGAGAGTTGCCTCTAAGATTTCATTCTCCGTCTTCCCCTTAAGACAGTGGATCATCCCAGATGAACTGGAGGCTGGACAGCCAGCAATTACAGCAATTTTCTAGAATTGGGAAACAAACTAGTCCTTGTTGTGCATAACAATCATCCTCCTTCCACTCTGCCATGGGAAGGCCAAAACCTCTGAAGGCATTTGGGCACAATGCCATCATATGGCAAGGAAAATAGGTGCAGAAGGAAACACAAAATGCTGCTCCTGAGAACAAAGGAGCAAACACTACAATGGTGTGAAGACATTAAGGACTTTGGACAGATTAAATACTGAAATTTGTCTGGACTTTCTATGTAGATCTGCCAGAGCCTGAGAAGATTAACTTTTACTCTCCTAGAAACAGTTTGATTCACACCTCCCATCTATCTCCTAACTCTGCAAGTAATGGGCCAGTTCAAAGAGGAGTCTTAGATGAAGAGAACTTCCAAAAGTCAGACATTTAACACTTAAACTCTATTCTTTGTTTATTT